CACTAGAGAATAACATAAAAAAACAAGATCTGGAATCTGAAAAATCCCAGATCTGAAAAAAAAAAAGGAATGAGGAAACGAGAAGGAAGGGGAGAGGTTGTTACCTCGCGGCGGCGGCAGAGGAGGACGGCGGGAGAGAGATGGCGATGACCGGAGTTGGAGGGGGGAGAGAGGCCTGCGATGGTGGGAGGCGGAGGACGCGACGGCTGCGGCGGGAGAGAGAGATGGCGGCGGTGGCGACGGGAGAGAAAGACGACGACGGTGGCGACGGGAGAGAAAGACGACGACGGTGGCGACGGGAGGGGGCAGCGGCGGCGACGACACGGGAGGGAGAGAGAGAGAGCAATTAGGGTTCTCGGGAGAGGGAAGAGAGAGGGGAGAGAGGAAGAGTTTTTCTTTTTTGGAAATCAGATTATATAGAAAATGAGAAAGGATCCTGCGTGGTAAGTTTTTCTCTTCCAAAAATACCCTTCATTTAATCTAAACCGTTAATTTGAAAAACCAAGAGAGAGGGTGGATCTAATTGCTGCGAAGGAGGAAGTGAAAATCACAACCTCTATGAGGGTTGTGACGCTATCTAAGCCCTAAATAGTTTGCTAAATTTGGCACAACATCTACACCACTCAACTACAACTCTTCTCTTGAAACAATAATATATTCACAAAGTTTTACCCCTTGAACGCTAAAAATCCTCAATAACTTTAAACAACCATAACTTTGTGCTCCAAAATCCGAACGTTATGAATTTTTTTTCATTTCTCATAAATTTTTATGGACTATAATTTTAACTAGGAATGAATTTTCAAAACAGGAATTATTTTTGGATATACAGGGTTTTGGGAATAGCTTACCTTCTCTTTTCACAAATCCACGTACATTTAGAAATTATGCCTATGATAAAAGTTGGGAATTTGCTACGGTGATGTCACCGTAACATGCACTTTTCGGTCAATCTAATGTAGGATTAGGTCGACCTAATTTGCTGTTTCAGACAGTGAAGAGGTGTAAGAACTCTATGAGTTTAACTTGTGTTTTTTGTTGTTATGTTGTTTTCAATTTCATGAAGTGTGTTTTATGTGAACAATTATGAAGTGTGTTTTATTATATTCTTGTTAGCGTGGTACGTTGTTACGTTAAGAAGTTATGGGTCTTGGCTATCATGATATAAGAATGATTCCAATGACTATCAAACGTAAAAATAAAGTCGAAGGTCATAGGCTAAATTTCCTTAATTCGGTCGACCTCGAGACCAACACTTGATCTTCATTTCACGTAAAAAAAGGGATGGATAAATGGATAGAGCACTTTACTTTTTTCTCTGGTCGACCTTTTTCTGTAAATGGTTGACCATTTTGGTAATGACCAAAATCAAGTGATCGACCTCATTACCTTTATGGTCAACCAGTTTGCTTCAAACTACAATGAAAAGGGCGACCCATGTTTTATTGTGGTCGACCGGTAATGTCACAACTTAACACAAAATGGTCGACCACTACATTTTAAAGGTCGACCGTGATAAGTCATCATATTGCCCACATTAGTGTATTCGGTCGATCGCAGTTAGCAATAGGCCGACCGAAAAGTGCATGTTACGGTGACATGCATGTACCATAGGCGCACCCTAAAAGTTGTAGTCCTTCAAAAGTTATGTGAAATGAAAAAACAATTCATGACGTTCGGATTTTGGAGTACAAAGTTATGGTTGTTCAAAGTTATTGAGGATTTTTAGCGTTCAAGGACTAAAACGTTGTCAATATGAAGTTGTTTCAACAAAAGAGTTGTAGTGTGGTGGTGTAGATGTTGTGCTAAATTTAGTTAACTATTTATATTATCAGGGCTCGAACCAACACCCCCACAACATGTTGCTTTTTTTAATCTATACTAAATAAAAAGATTTAATATGGGATGATGATGTTTCAAAACAAGTACCTCTAGCATACAAAGAAACAACAGAACCAATTATGCCAAGACCAATTATGGTGATTATTTGAAAAAAAAATATTTATTACAAACCGCCCCGTGGGGGTGCGCTTTGCACTCAAACTGATCCGACCCCATGCGGTCAGCAAAACCACGCCCTACCCGTGCGGTTTTCGTCGAAAACCACGCCCCCACCCTGCGGTTTTCGAAAAAGGGTGCTAATTTTGGAATTTTTTTTGGACTGGGTGCTAATTTTGGAATTCTTTTTTTAAACAGTGCTATTTATGGAAAAAGTCCACTATTATAACCATGTGTTAATCTTGTTTCATGAGCATACACAATAGTTTATCTCTACTTTTGTTAGAGCGACACCACTCTCAATGCTCACATTCCAAATGAACGTCATTAGGAGTTCTATAACTCACCCTTCTTTCAACTAATTTATTTGTACAATAAACTAGTTCCACCATTAGAGTAACTTGTTATTACCAAATTGCACCTCTTAATTAGTAAATACCTAAAGAAAAGGTTGGGTTCCCATTACTTCTAACTATACAAAAGGTCGCAATCTCATCCCTCAAGATGTCTCATATATTATGCCTCTTGGAAATCCCTTCGTAAGAGGATCTGCCAAATTGTTGCATGACCTTACATACACAATATAAATAATTTCGTTAGTAATCCAATACCTAACGTAATCATGTCTTAGGCTAATGTATCTAGACTTACTATTATAAATCTTGATATAAGCTCTAGACAATGTAGCCTCACTATCACAAAAGACAGAAATGGCTGACATTGGTTGTGGCCACAACTGTATATCTAACAACATGTTTCTTAGCCATTATGCTTCTTTTCCAGCCACCGCAAGGGCTAGAAATTCAACTTCCATAGTAGTGTGTGTAATACATGTTTGTTTCTTCGAAGCCCAAGAAACTGCTCCACCACCTAGTGTAAAAATCCACCCAGTTGTAGATTTATTATCACTAGCGTCGTGATCCAACTAGCATCAGAAAATGCTTCTAGTACAACAGGAAGTTGCTATAGAAGAGCCACAAATCTTTAGTTCTTTTTAAATAATCAAAGACTCTTCCTATAACTTCCCAATGATCAACACTGGGATTACTAGTGAATCTAGAAAGTTTGCATACAGAAAATGCAATGTCGGGTCTGGTACAATCCATTAAATACATCAAACTTCCAATAGCACTAGAATACTCAACTTGTGCCACGGCTCTTCCCTCATTCACCCAAAGCTTAAAAGAAGCATCATAAGGGGTGTTAGCTTCCTTTATGTCCAAATGCTCGAATTTCTTGAGCATCTTCTCGACATAATGTGACTGACTCACCCCCACTATGTCTCCTTACCTTGATACCCAAGATAGTATCAGCTTCTCCAAGATCTTTCATTTGGAAGCAGGAAGTTAGATACTCCTTGGTGTCACTTATGCCCTTCATATTAGTCCCTATTATCAACATATCATCAACATAAAGCATATAATGACCATGTACTATTTTGTGCACTTTGAATAAATGCATTTATTAGCAGAGTTATGAGAAAATCCACGAGCCAAGACAACATAATCAAATTTCTCATGTCATTGCTTAGGTGCTTGCTTTAGTCCATACAATGACTTTTGCAACTTACACACCTTTCCTTCATTTTCAGGCAACACTAAATCTTATCGTTGCTCCATATACAATTCTTCGTCTAACTCACCATTTAAGATTGTCGTCTTTACATCCATTTAGTGTACAAATAGATTGTAAATAGAAGTCAAAGCTAAAAGCACTCTTATGGAAGTGATTCTTGCAACTGATGCATAGGTGTCAAAGCAATCTACTCCTTCCTTTTGCGTAAACACTTTTGCTACCAATCTAGCTTTGAAAGTATATATTGATCCATTTGTGTTATACTTGATCCGAAATTTGGGTTTTGTCCACTGACCCCTGTGTCGTCATTGATTCGGTCCATATACAATTCTTCGGCAAACATTGTTGAGGGTGATAGGTCATAGTTGTGAGTCTTTCTCTGGGTGATCCACTTTGGGAATAAAAACCATCATTAGCTTGATAAGTAAGAACCCACGGCCGGTAGAAGAGAAATTTGGGTTTTGTCCACTGACCACTTTGCCGTCATTGATTCGGTCGCACTACAAAATAGAGAAGGTTAGGGGACGGCAAAAGTCGTCACCTGAAATAGGCAAAATCGTCTGCCTTATTTTTGGAGACGATTATGTTGTCCCCAAAGTGTGGTGCCTTATACTTTTGTCCTCTATATTTTTTAATAGACAACAAAATTCAAGTCGTCCTCAATACCAGGAACGACACTTGTTCCGTTCCGTGATTTCTGTGAAAAATAAATCAAATGACGATTCTTCGGTATCACAAAACGAGTGTCATTCAATTTATTTGTAGGGTATCGGCCTATATTTTTCAGTTGGTTGTAGCTCTAGCCGATATTGATGGTGTGGGTTGAAACATCGTAGGGACTAGAACTCATGCTGCTCCTAACATGGAAGTATTGATTTACGCTTTGCTTATGCCAGTTCTGAAATTGGTAGTCGAGAATGGAAGCAAACTTGGTAGGAAATTGGACAATTCAATCGAGCAGTTGCGAATGAAGCAACAAATTGGCTCGAGTTGATTACGAAAACCAATTCGACCGAGTAGTACCAAAACAATCAAATATTAGTGACCGAGTGCGTAGTAAAAGACAACAACGTAAAGAGCCCATATCCTTCTACTTCGTTTACTGATCTTTCTGATCTTTCAAATCCTTATATTATGTTACAATTAAGCTTGCATTATCTCTATTCCCCTCATTTTCATTCACGCCACCGTAAAAATCCAAATAACCACCCAGAACCAAGTGGTCCGATTATTAATTATTTCTCTATCCAAACTGGCGATGGTGGCAATAGGTACGCACAGATCTTGCTGGATCCCCAGAAAACAGAAATAGACATATACAACTTTATTCTTGATAAACGAACATGAGAAAACTGAATTCATCCGACAGCTGTCTGGTTTTGGTTTGGTCTGGTCTGGTCCGATCATGTGGCTGGCAGTTTGAGTACCTGTTCGAAACCAGCTGCAATTCTTACGATTCCACAGGCGACGTTCAGCTGGAACGACTCCCAAGCGGATGTGACGGTGGACTGCAGAGTCAGCATTCCATACTCCAGTTTGGCCTTCCTTTTCTCCACATAGGCCTTGAGAGCCGCCACCCGGCCCTTAAGGTTAAGGATCACCTCGTCTTTGTCGGCGAGCTGGCGGCGCAGGTCGCGGAGCTCCTCGTCTCTGGCGGCCACCTGGGCAGTCAACCTCTGGATCTCCATGTCAAGGGTCTGGATCTGGTAGTCTTTGGCTCTCATCTTGTCCTCGTACGACTCCCATGGCGCGAACTCGTAAAAGTCGGTGTAGATGGGATCCTGGCTGTAGACGCATGACAGACGATGAAGGTCCCGATAGTCGGCGTTGTTGAACCAGATGAGACGGCGTTGGTTGGCCACGTAACGGAACCACACGGTGTTGATCTGGTTGCCGACGAACTCCCGCTCGAAGAGCGTGCACTCGCCGACTCTGGAGGTGTCCTCGTTGGGGTTGTCCGCCGTGGCAGTGACGAACCACACGCCAAACCTGTTTTTTATTTGATTTTATTATTATTCTGAAGTTGAACCACGTACGTACGCGCCACCTAGTAAATATATATATAATGTGAACAAATGAAGATTCTGGGTTTGATGGACATGCATGCCTTTGCACAACACGGAAGAATTTGTTGTTGTAAGAGCAGCGGAGGTGGACGTAGGAAGATGGGTTTGTGGTGGAAGGGACGACTTCGAGCTTGACGAACGGGCTCACCGGGTCCAGGTCCCGCTTCACGCCGATGAACTGGTAGTACTCCAGCCCCCACTGGTCGTTCCAAAGGTAATGCAGGTACCTGTTAGCGCTCTTTGATCGGAGAACCACATAGCGCGGCAAACCGGCTACCGTTGTCCCCATCACCTGAAAGAAGAGCAGCAGTGAATTATAATTATATATATATCAACAAGCTAGGAAATATATATGGCAAAGAGGGCTCACTCTCACTCTCTCTCTGTCTGACTTGATGCTACAACCCAACCCATGCCCGTCTTTCGTTTTATAGCCACAACAACATCTATCTAGTTAGTAGGGCTAGTAAAGGCTGGTGTGGTGGTTGCACCTACTCGATCGATCATCGCAACCTAGCTAGCTAGCTGTTTATTTTGAGGAGGGCTGATCGAATTCGAATAAAACACCTATCTGTCTTCTGTTAAACCGTATCATCGTAAGTATCATCGATCCGATCGAGAAAATCGTATATTAAAGAAGAACAGCATTTCTTCTCTTTTACCTTCTTCCTGTGCTTCAACTTACAGCTACCCTATTTAAAAATGATTTCGCAAGTGGTAATATATAATATATTAAACATCGTAGGTTATAATCACCTTCCAAAATATAAACAATTTTGTATATTACTAACTTTTCATAAACGTTGATAATCACATATCGTTACAAATCACAATTTTGTAAGGGTGCGTTTGGATAAGTGTATTTTAAATGTAAGGTATTTGAAATACTAGCATTTGAAATGGAAGTATTTGAAGTATTAGCATTTGAAATACATATAATTCAAATTCATTGTTTGGATACTCATTTGTAATTTGTTTGTATTTTTGTATTTATGATTTTCAATTTCAATTTTAAATTTTCTGGTCACTTACTACAAATTTTGGTAAATTACAGTTTGGTACCCAAAATTATTTTTTCTTACAATTTAGTACCTAAACTTTTAAAATTTTACAAAAAGGTCCTGAAATTTTGATGGTAAAATTACATTTTGGTACCTTTATATGTTTTGTCTCACACTATAGTACCTAAACTTTTCATATTTTACAAATAGGTCCATTCTTTTGTTAGGAGGTATTTCAAATCACTAGTTGTTGAAATGTATTTGAAGTTGACAAAAAATACACTAGACATGTATTTGGAAATCACCCCATGAATTTGACACAAATCCAAATACCAAATGTAATTAATATCTGTTTCGTTGGCGAAACTCGCGTGTTCAATGTGCACTGGTTTTCAAGAAAAAACACAAAACACACGTCAATCACAACCGTCAAATATCCGCCGCCGAATGTCGGCGCCGTTGATTTGATCGATTAAAGAAGAAACCAAGACGATCGTCAAATGGCCGCCGCCGGTGTCGGCGTCGTTGATTTGATCGATACACCTTTGACCTCTAATCAAACAACTGTTATTCGGTTCACCACCTCTCCAAACTACGTTCGAACGAGGGTGTTCAACGAGAAACGAGAAACCAAACCAAGAGTGTTCTAAGTTACGTTACCTCTACTCCTATGGAGGTTCCTCTGGAGAGCTCCGCGACTACGACTACAAGCTACGATCTACGACTCTGCAAAGGAGTTCTTTGACAGAGCGGTTCTACGAAACTAGAGAGAAAAAAGATAATTCTGCAATGGTGCAGTTGTGATTTGATTTTGCCGTCCCCAACTTCTCTCTCTTCCCAATCTTTATACTTCGCGCCTCTCCTCGTCGTAGTAACTGCCTTCGCGCCTTTGTCTCCCACGTCTTCAGTCCTGTCAACCGTGCAGGTACCTTCCTCCTTGTTGCGTAACTCCCACGAGTGCGAAACCGCTTGAGCACGTGACAACTTGGCCCAAAACGACACTGAGCCGAAATCCACCATTACTGAACTCTCGTCACTGCGACGTTGTTTTCTATTAAACAACATCGTTTCAATACCGCGACGGTGTCGACACCCACGATGTCGTTTTCGGCTAAAGCGACACCGTCTTAACTGATCCTTAAAATATTAATTAATTAAACCGGCCAACATTGTTGACCCGCTGTCAAGCCCTGGCGCCGTTAGTAATTAAACAGCATCGTTTTCTATTTCTGCAATGCTGTTGAACTTTGCGATGCCGATTTAACTTTAATGCTGTCGTTTCAACAACTGCGGCATCGTTTTTAAATCCGCGGTGTCGTTCCTTCCCCTTGCGGCATCGTTTTTAAATAACGACACCGTGCTAAGAAGTCATTAAAATATTAATTAACTGACCATCACTAGTCCATGACCAACAACATCGTTAGCGCCAAAACGGCTCCGTTTGTTTTTCCTTTTGCGACATTGTTTTTTATTAAACACTGTCGTTTGCTTGTATAGCGGTACCGTTGTGCTTCCTTGCGGTACTGTTTTTAATTCCGCGGCACCGTTTTAACTCCCCTCGGTGCCGCCTCTTCCATCCAATCAAGGAATAAAAATAATAATAATTAATTAGAGAAAACTCCTTCTGTTTTCCAGTCGGTGCCGTTCCAGTACCGCGGTACCGTTGAGATTCCTGGCGGTACCGTTTTAGTTCTCCGCGACACAGCTCGACTCCCTACGATACCGTTTTTTTTACGCGCGGTCTCGACTTAAATGCCGAGACTAATTAATGCGGCATTTAATTCTGGCAGAATTAATTTTAGGTGTCAACAATATCCAAACACATGATTTGTTATTTGAAAATCCAAATCACAAATACCAAATCCAAATCCTTGTATCCAAACGTACCCTAATACATTATACATAGGGATTTTTAAGTTGCTTACAAATAGATAAACTGATGTACTACCTAAGGTAATTAAAAAATCACAATATGCTTTTATCAAATGAAGACTCATCAATGATAATATTTTGGTCGCTTCTGAAATGGTGAAATACTATCACAACAAGATTTTTCCTCAACAATATTTTGTTCACATTAGTGCTTGCTATGTAATTTTCAGCTAGACTTGTGCGATTGATTGAAGCGTGTGTCTCAATTACTATTCAAATTGTGGATTACTGTTGCATACGATAAAAGCCAACACTTCCTTCTTTTTTTTTTTTTACAAAATCAATGTCTTAATTACTACTAGATTTGAACCCGGCCCGTTGGCCGGATACATTTCATCAATGTTATAAACAACAATAGTAATTGTGCAAATTAAGATATCTTTTTTATTGGTAACATATAGAATTCAAATTATTCAGCTTCTAACAATATTGAGAATCAATATACATTGTTAGTCTTTTCAACATTTTAACTTATTCAACGATGAAATTCCTTCCCAAAAGTAAAATGTCGCAACCATACAATGATACAAAGGAGTCAAATCATAATTGTAAATGCACAACAATAGTAATTGTACAATGATTTTTTGTACCATACAATGATTTTTAGAAGTTTTTGTGGAACGTGCAGATAAAACATATTTAATGGCTAATCGTAGAGAGAGAACATAATGATGATGTAACCACCTTAGAATATTAGTAAAAAACTAAAAATCAGATAGCAATGAATTCATGACAATGTAATTAGCCATCCATCTCTAAGCATGTGTTATTGTGATTATATTTTATAATGCATTGTCTTTAGAGAAGAACAATATATATTAGCGACAATTATGGATATATTGTTCATGTTTTGATATTTCCAATTTAAATTACACGTATCTATGAGTCGATTTTCCCCAACACGTGTCCTATGATAAATTATCCGATCTGTTTACACCTAAAAATCTTAACCTGATATGCTACGGGCATATATGTATGAATGTAGGGGAGGACCTAGGTTAGTGATATGTCAATTGACAAACTTTGATAAATTATCCGATCTATTTACACCTACAAATATGAACCCGATCTGCTACGGGCATATATGTATGAATGTAGGGTAGAACCTAGGCTAGTGATATGTCAATTGACAAACCTTGATCCAATTTTAGAAAGAAAAATTATTCGTAAAATTTTATTTTAGTGATGGCAGTATTTGACAATGTTTATCTTATCGTTGAATACTCTCAATCTAATTCTTGAATCTGTCATTGCATAAATGTCAAGATACCCGATCAGTCTACACATTATCATTCCTAATTTCGGAGGAATTGATGCATAGATGAGTTGGAATAATGATAGCTGAAGTTAAGTAGCTTTTTATAATATGGAAAAACTTTTAGCTTATTTATTTATTATCAACAATTGGAGCATGAATTTTTAAATGCTTATTTATCTTATCGTTGAATACTCTCAATCTAATTATTGAATCTGTCATTGCATAAATGTCAAGATACCCGCCCAGTCTACACATTATCATTCCTAATTTTGGAGGAATTGATGCATAGATGAGTTGGAATAATGATAGCTGAAGTTAAGTAGCTTTTTTTAATATGGAAAAACTTTTAGCTTATTTATTTATTATCAACAATTGGAGCATGAATTTTTAAATGCTTTTTATTGGTACCCAAAATCAATTTGGCTTTTACTGCACTAAATATGGCGAGCACATATATTAAAAGACAATATAGTCCTTCCGTGAGATGCGCAATGGCCACGAAATATTGAATTGGATGGGTTCTCACATAGAACGTCTATATATGATTTGTAGGATAGGATTCATTAGTGTTTTGCAATCCCATGTGGGCGTGTGTACATATTTGGCGGCTAACAAAGCATATCAATTTTTCAATTTTGTTGGATACGTCTCTGTTTTTTTTTTTACCATTATGTAATAGGCTCTCAATCTTTTTTCAATTTCTTTATTGTTAAATTTTAACTACAATATTATTTATTTATATTATTATACCACAAGTAACCCAAATTGTGAAATTCTGTTGCATACGAAAAAAGCGGACACATCTTCTTTTTTTACCATAACAATGTCTTATATATATATATATATATATGGTGCCTTCTACGGTACCCCGGGTGAAATCCGGGGTACCGCATACCTTAAGTATGAAAACGCTATCTAAACCTTGAATTAGCAGAATTTTTGGGCATGATACTATACCCTAACACTTAATGAGTGAACCCTAGGTCCTAATTATCTAAATCATAAACTATAAACCCTAAGATAGTGCATTGATTTTTTTGCCTATATTTGGACGAATCATAACTGTCGATTATTGTTTCTAATTAAATTGATCTTGGGTATAAGATTCAGAGAATTAAGACCTAGATTTTGCTCTTTAAGGGTTAGAGTATAGTATTATGTTCGAAAGATCAATCAATTCAAGTTCTAGATATTGTTTTCTTACTCAAGGTATGCGGTACCCCGGATTTCACCCTAGGTACCGTAGAACTCCCCATACAAGTAATCCAAATTGTGGATTACTGTTGCATACGATAAAGAGGACACTTTTTTTTTATACCAAAACAATGACTTAATTACTGTTCATTAGTTTTTTGCATCCCATGTGGGCGTGTGTACATACTTGGCGGCTAACAAAGCATATCAATCTTTTTCAAT